ACAGAAATAGAAAGAGATTAATTTAGGGCTTTTCTTGTAAATTCTATAACTCTGCAAAGAAAGGTCGTGTAGAGCTGGGAGATGCCTCATTTTAATCAGAAATGTGCAGGCTACAATCATCTCTTACTAAGAAAAGGTTTTGATTATTTTTTAGAGTTTCTGAAAAACTGGTTTTCCAGAAAACCGGGTCTTCAAGAGTAATGGGCCCGAATCCTTTTAGGCTTTTTATTAGCTCTATATACTCTATCGATTGAGGTATAACTCATTAGAAACGGAGGGAATCATCTCGGGCGGTTCCCTCGTAAGTGGTTCCTATCCTGAAAAAATCTCGAAAATTTTTCGGAGCGCTTAGGAGAAAATCGAGGTCAAACTTAAGGAATTTTTCAAGTAAATTGAGTACCGCTCGAGTGTAAAGTTAGATCGAGACCGAATTCCTTCATCATTAGAATCAACTCGTCAAGAGCTACAATTTGATGTATAATTATGCAATGTTTCGTTCATTTTCACCGACTTCGGTTTGACCCTCCCCACAAACTTGAGTTGTCTAGAAAACCACTTTCCACACGTTTTTTCAAAAAAGCGTAAGCCTTTAGAATATTTTTGATGCTCTATACGATGGACAAGGTGAAATTTTCGCGGCAAGATACTCGGTATAAACTGGGTGGACCGCAACCTGTGCCTGTATCAGAGGCCGAAACAACTCGGGTCAGACAATAAAATTCATTTTTGGACCTTTAGCCTTTAGATTATTTTTGATGCTCTACACGATGGGCAAGGTGGAATTTTTGCGGCGAATAGTGAATGTAATAGTGGGTGAACCTGCGCGGAAGGACTCCAGATGATTCGTTTCTCAATTTCACAAACTTCCGATCGCATCTAAAAGTTTGTTACTTCTCAACCCATCTTGTTGTTAATTAAACTAATAGAACAAATTGCTTAAAATAGTTATAGAGAAAAACAGTTTATGGAATGCGATATCTGAAAATTTGATTGGTCTGCTTTTGTCCAATGAGAATCCGTATAGTATATGCCATAAAATGATCGCTTACGATAATTTAGCGAAAACTTATATTATAGCCGTGTTCGTCGAACATAATCAATTTTGTATTAGTTTAGTTAAAGATAAGATGGGTTGCGAATTAATAACTATTGCCTCGACTGAAATTTAAGAAGAGATTCGAAAGCATGCGAAAACATGAGTTCATAATCGATATTTTTGACTTTTGTGATCGAGAAAAGATGATGAAAACGAGTCGGGCCAAAAGTATATTTCATGGTATTTTGTAGGGCTTGACGAGCACTACACTGTCTCGGAAAAGTATGCTTTTCCGGGACAGTGTACAAATAAGAGAAAAACAAAATTTGACCGATAACTTTTTGTGCTGTGAGACCTGAAATTTGCCTATTTTTAAAAAAGGATCTTCAAAGATGGGCTTTGTACTCAAAGAGAAAGATAGGTATTGAGTTAATTCTTTTTCCATTACATTAGACAGCTCCTCAGGTTCATTTTCATCTATAATAAAAGAAGTTTTTGTTTTGTTTTCCGTTCAGAAACTGAATGCCGATTTCTCATTTTCAGCCGTTTTCGGACTTTTTTAGCGAACAAATATAGGAGTCTATGTAACTTTTTATACTCTACATGACATGAGTCTTGAAATTTTTGCGACTCTTATGCCTGTATAAACTGGGCGAACCCGAACGGAACTACCCTCTAGTAATTCAATTAGTTTAGAAGTTTCAGTTGCACGTCAACGTGATTCCGATTGGAATTTTGAAAAAATGAACAGTCTTAATTCAGGATTTTACGGTTTCTGATGGCTTGTACAAAATATCAGATTATGTCAATTAGTGGGAAAAGACATTTGAAGCTAGTTTTCTCAAGTATTGTTTTAATATATACTCTAGTTTGACTGTTCCACACGTTATGAACGTAAAAGAAAGTAAGGTAAATTAGAAGAAAATGTCTTAAATATGCTCTCAGATAAGACTCAGCATCATCGATATGTTACACGATTGTTTTGACGTACTCATCGAGCGTCTTATACTAATCTTGTAACATTCAGAAAATTCGATATCACGCCCACTTCGTGACAGATGATGAGTCCAGATAACTCTCATGTTTTAGAAGGCGGTCTATCGACCCATGTAATCAGATAGATATGTTGTCATTTCAGTTTTGTCCGAATTGGTTTTTCAATTATCGTGTCAAAACACTATCTCAGGAGAAAGTTTCAAATTTTTCTCACAGATCGATTTACTCTGTTGTCTACTACGAGCTATCGAAAACCGTGAATTTCTACCTTTCCGCGTTCAAAAGTTATTCTAAATCATATTGAAGACCACTATATTTTAAACAGATAATAATTTTTATATTATTGTTCACTACATTTTGTCACAAAAAAAATGCTAGCACAAGCTTCCACATCGTCATCATCCAATTCAACATTTGCAACTCGGTATGACATTGAATATACTTGTTAAAGAAACAAAATGAAAACATAATTTTTTTTCGATATTCTTTCTTAGTCTCAGACGTGAATGTGTCGATTTACAACAAAATCCAGTTCCATATACTTTGTATGTATTTACTTTTATAAATTTATCTTTTTATATGAACATTTTTCTCGTCTAGTGCTGGTCCAACAAATGATAATCTCAAAACGTGGCTTGTTATCTTTGAAGGATCACCTGGCTCATTATACGAAAATGGAACATTTTTTGCTACATTATTGTTCGATGATGATTATCCTTTCACACCACCAACAGTAAGCACATTCAAAAAGTGAAATTTAGTTTAACGATCAAGATATGCTTATCCTCTATAGGAGTCTTTTTAGGCAAACTGTTATCAAAAATAATAAATTTTTTCAGAAAAAAAGAAATAGTTGAATTTCTAAAATAGAACTTTCATTTATTGATAATTGTTTACTCTCTAATCTTTTTCAAGATATATGTGATGTGTCTTGTTTTTGTTTACTATAGCTAGAATTTCGAACACGCATTTATCATTGTAATATTTATCATTTCACTGGTCAAATGAAACACGATATGTTTGATAAAGGATGGATACCAACATATACTGTACGAGATATTTTAAGAAAAGCATCGGAATTACTCGTACAGTGTGAACCAGGTAATCAAAAAAATAAAATATTAAATAATTTAATAATTATCAAATAAATATTTTATCTGTTTAGATAATTGTGCAATGAAAGAATTAGAAATTCAGTATAAAACACAACGAGAAGAATATAATAAAATGGCACGTTTATGGACAGATAAATTTGCTAGATAAAAAATTTTTTTTGTATATATTTTTGTTATTGTTATCAATGTTTGAATATACCGATATTTTTTTATTGTACATATATACGCATAGATTCTACTTGTTTTCAATGTTTCAAGTGTTCCATAGAGACAAATTTTTTCAAGTGATTGTCAAATTTTTTGTATGAAAAGTTTTTTTCAGAAGGATATTGAAGAAACAACAAAAAATATCCTGTTAGTCAAAGAATATCAGAAACGGTTTATTTTTATTTTAGATTTGTTTTCGAATCTTATCTGATTACAGTAGAAAATTTTAATATGTTAGCGTAAGAGTAATTTATTTTACAGAGAATATCAAAAATTAATGGTTATCCTAATTGGTCATTAGCATTAGACTGTGGTCATTTGACCAAAGACCAATAATTTTTTCCAAATTCAACATTATTACTTCAATGATTACGTAAATTGGCAGTGATTTGTTGACTATCTAAACGATTTTACGTTTAGAATCACAAGTTCGTTTTTACGCTTTTTATTGAACATTTGTAGTGTTTTGTTTTGAAGATTATGAATGTTTAGCATCTTCTGGAGAAAAACTGATAGTAATTAAAAAACAAACTACCACAGAAAAAATATATCTAATTTGGACAATTTATTAACATGCAAACAATGTTCACAACAAGTTACTGCGTAAATTGCTTCAGAACAGAGATAGTAGCCTTAAGTAGCAAATTTTATATTTTTTTCACCTCCAACGAAGGCAGCGAAGCTTTAACATACTTATCACCAATTCTATTTCTACTTTTCAAAAAGCCATCGATTTTTAGATCTCTTCTATATCTCTATTTCAGAAACACTTATTGGTATGGTGATAGTCATGGATATACAAGATGGTTTAAATCTTAAATCATTTTATAATTGAAACTGCAAAATAGTTTATGTGCTAGACAGACATTGCTTTATTTAAATTTGAAAAAAATTTAGCTAATTGAACCAGTCAATATTTAATTTCTCATATGGTCAATGAGAATACATAAAGATTGTTTTCTTTGTTTTACATGAAGGTAGTATGTATATTCAATGATATTCATTATCATCATATTCATTTCCTGTACGATGGTCAACAGATGATATAAGTAAATAAGACTAATTTCGGTATATCAAGTTTGGAAAATGATGATTTGGTGTTTTTTTAAAATTATGTATTCTATTTTAATCTACGATGTATTGCTTTATATTTGGATACAGCTGAAAATGAACAAAAAATATTTTGTCATATCGATATCATTATTCAATGGTCAAAGATCATTTAGAAATAAACTGAGAAAAATATGGCGAATGTATGTTAAAAAACTGAGTATTAGTTAGAAGCAAATAAAAATTTTTTTGTAGCCGATTTACTAAGCATGTGTTACTATTGATACCCAGTATATTTTTGTGCTAACAATATGTATTTGATACTAGTTTAATAAACAAATAACAAAAACAAATGAATGTTTATCACGCGAGTTTAGATGCGAAATATGGATTACAACAGAAAACAAATTTTCTTCACTGTGAACAATGAATGTATTTACGTCTACACATTCAGATGTCGATTTATCATTAAAAACAGTTAGCAGAAATAAAAATAACAATAAAATTATCCTATTATTAACATAAGAAAACAGCAAATTAACCTTTAATAACCGCCACTGGTCGCAATTTTACACATAGTTTACTAATACCGGCTGCATGACATGTTTCAACAACATCAGTTACATTTTTATATGAATCCGGCGCCTAAAAAGAAAAAAAGAAATACTTTAGTTTTCAGTATGAATATAAAAAAGAACTTACTTCTTCTTGAACAAGTTTAGGCGAGGCTACACGTATAGCAATTCCTTTCTCTCTTAAATCATCAAGTACGTCATACCAATTAAGATTACGTCGAGATTTGGCACGAGACAATGCACGTCCCTTCGGATGAAAGAAATCAATTGATTACAGTAAATACAAATTGTTGGAAAGAAACTTACAGCGCCATGACACGTTGAACCAAATGTTTCACGCATTCCTTCGTCAGTTCCAGTTAACACATAACTACATGTACCCATTGTTCCTGTAAACACGAGAGCAACTGATTATATATTTCTTCTAACTTAATATTAACAAGTGAAATTAGAATTGCTTCGCGAAATATTCACTACAGATATAGAATATGCTCGCCTTCATCATACCTCCAATAAGAACGGGTTGTCCTGTTAGTTGATAGTCAACTGGTATTAATGGATGATGTGGGGGAAAAGCTCTTGTTGCTCCTTTTCGATGAACTAATAATGTTTTTTGTTTTCCATCGCTCATTACATGTTCTTCGATTTTGGCAATATTATGAGAGACATCATAGATTAAATGCATATCTAAATCATCCGGGGCAGTTTTGAATATACGGGCAAATGCCTGAACAATAAAATACAAACATAGTTTCCGTTATACATAGTGTACTAAGTATACAACGTACTTGTCTAGCTAAAAATGTCATTGATGAACGATTGACCCAGGCATAATTTGCTGCCGCACACATCCCTTTAAGATAATCTTGTCCTTCTTCGGATTTAATCAAGGCACAAGCTAATTGACGATCATTTGTTAGGATATTATCGCGTTTCATCGCTTTTTCCATCGCAACTAATGAATCTAAATGAGACGAAAACACATTAGAATTATTTATACTTCACAACAGTTAGAACCATCTGTCTACAAATTTTTGAAGAAGTCCACAAAAAACGTTTGATACTTTCTTCTTAATAAACATTAACCTGTAGCAACTTGGTGTCCCAATCCTCGACTTCCACAATGTATCATAACACAAACTTGTCCTTTAAAATCGATACCCATTTTTCCCGCAGCAAATTTATCATAGATTTCATCAACAATTTGTATTTCAGCGTAATGATTTCCAGCACCTAATGTACCTAACTAGACATAATGAAAGATATAATTGTGATCTTTCTATTGACAAAAGTGAAGCATTTACTTGTGGTAGACCCCGCTTTTTCGCCCGTTGTGATACTTTTGAAGGATCAGCTTGTAACATACGGCCATATTCTTCACAATGTTCTTTGTCTTCGGCCCATGAATAACCTGAAGAGACAAGCAATTATACTTTTCTAGAAAGAGCACGATGTATAGTTATTTACCTTCTCTCAATGACCAATCCATACCCATTTCAAGTGCTTCTTCAAGATCTCTGAAAAAGAGAAACAGAAAATATAAATTATTGTGAGTTTATGACCGAAATGGATTATTATAAATACAATAAGATGCTTAGGTTGATCAGACGGGGAACGAGAATGTTATTTATGCTCCTTAGAAGAGGGAGAAAGAGACAAGAAGAAAGCGCGAAATTTACTGATATCTCATCTAGTTAAAAACTAGAATGTTTTTTTAACGATTCTTTTTTTTAGATAACACTGCGCATTATACGTTAGGAATATTGACTCACTTGGCATTCATTGGTATAACACCTTTCGAACCAACGCCAACCGGAATATGATCAAACATACTTTGTGCTAGTTGTTCTTTAACTGGTTGTACATCTTTCTCGGTTAAATTTGTTCTCAGTAAACGTACACCACAATTAATATCAAAGCCAACACCACCTAAAGCGAGAAAAAATAAATGAATATATGACTTGTACATGAAAAGTGTTTGTAACAGGAAAGTATAATCTGTATCATAAAATCGAAATAGTTTTTTTAAATAATACGGATGTAAAATATTTAGTTTATGAGCGTGCACACCTCTTCGATCAAATTGACTATCAGACTATTTTTTGCAGACATTGAAAATTAAACTATTGCTTATTTCAAAGAAGAATGATCTGAATATCTTTGGATTAAAAATAGATGATAGATCTCTTGAAACTTTGAGAATAAAACATTTAATAACGTATTTTAAATAATAAAAGTCCAGAAACACCAAGGCATTGCTATACATGTATTGCATATATAGCGTTATTTCCTGTTTACAGCAGAAAATGGATCGAAAAAAAATCACAACTGTTTCTAGAATGAAAAACATGAATGTTCGAGCAGAGAATTTATTCGGACAGTCGTTTTATACTGAGAAAAGTGTTGCCACAATGAAAGGAGTATGTAGTGACTTTCTGATATACTTACCTTCTAGTCTTCTTACTCCTTTGTCTCTCTATGCTTTGATTATCCCATATTCTAACCTTCTGACTTTTTCAGACCAGAAGATCAGAGAACTAGAAGAACAACATTACAAACACCAGAGGGAAGGATGTTTTGGTATGGTGAGAGTGAGTCACAGAGGAGAAATTGAAAAGCTCAGAAATAAGTTAGAGGTGTGTGGTGTATAAGGCAGTTTGACTCACGGAATAAATTTTATGCCTGGACAGCTTTCGTGAAAAAACACAGATTGACATCTACCTTTTATTGAGAGTCATTCAGAAAGTATCCCAAATCATTCTTTTTTTAAAACAGCTGATATTTTAGAGAACCGTCACTATCAACTTATGTTCGAATACAAAATGTACTTTTTTATTGCAGTTTAAACTCAGTAAAACGAACACGAATATTTATTTTCATATATAGTAATCTAGTTGAGTTTTGCAAAAAAATACTTTGAACGTTGGTTTCCCAACGAAGTTTTTATATTATCTCACTCACCCGGAGAAACAATAGCTTTTGGATCATTATAATCAAATGCAGCCATATTTCCAATGGCAAAGCCATACCCAGAATGGACATCCGGCAAACCAACAGAACGCTAAGAAAAATGAAATGTGATAAATAGACGATCGTTGACTTTTTAAAAGTATCGATATATCATAAACTTTTTTGAAAATTTTCTTGAAAAATTTCTAAAATACTCACTCCAACTATTCCCGGTAATGCAGCTACATTTGCAATTTGTTTCATTCCCGGTAAAAATCCTCCTACACCACCATATTTTGAGGACATTTGCAATTCTTCAAACATTAGTTTTTCTAAATGGGAATTAACATAAAATATTCCTTCTACCTAAAACAAAGAAGCATATGAATCTTGTATAGTTCTGACAAAAAGAAGGAACACATACGTTCATATTTGGAACAAATCCTTTCTTTATTCTCCAGCAATGTGCATTTATTCTCTCGATATAACCTAATTCTTCGTCGTACGTTCGTGGCATGGTTTGTTGACCAGTTACAAAAAATCTAAAAATAATTAACGCGATGATGATAGTAGAAAAGAAGAGGATAAATAATCCAGAACACTTTGTTCTTTAACTAAAATACTTCTTCTGAACTGAATGATGAGACACAAAGCGCCTAAAAATTACAAATACATTATCAAGCTCGTATACTTAAAAAAAATGAAATGTTTGTGTTTCAGTCTAAGTCAATTCAACTTTAATGTTTAATGTTTACTACATCAACGATTATAACAGCACCAAATGGACGTTCAATCCATATTTTAACCATCCACTATACTATTGGAGTCTCATCAGAGCAATGAAGTTTAGGCAAGCCTGTTTTATTTCGTTTTTAGCGACAGAGAGTATAGCTATATATAGATATGATATTTTTGGTGGACTTTCGTGGTTTACAATCGCCTGATTTAATCTATACATATCTCGATATAATCAGGGTCATATATACCATATCCAAACTTCCCAATGAAGATTCAAAAGTTTCGAAACGACGAACAATAGAGAAAACGCGTCTCTTCAGATACGAAAACGTTTTCTTACGCCTTTTTGAATAATATGAACTGTCTAAATCAGAGTCATCAATTGCTGCATATTATCGAATGAAAATATAATTTCAACTATGACAGTCGGATAAGGTGGACAGTCAGAGTAAGAGTGAACTCAATAACTAGTTTCAGTTGATTGTGAACTATATGAATTTTCTGCCAGGAGGTTTCTTAGGTAGATTTGTCATTTGCTTTCTGTTACAAGACTAGGTCTGACAAAATATTTATCCTCCAATTTTTTCTGTCCAGGACGAGCGTCATCGAATTATGAAAAAAGAACTTTGATTGCTCATAATTAGTTAAAAACATTTTCATCGTTTGTATTGTACACTATCATTGATTCAAGTTCGACGGACAATCTTGATTCACAAATTTAGTAGTTGGTTTTACACTGTCAATATTTTGTAATCATTTATTTTGAAGAAACCAATCACGCAATAATCTTCTCTAGAAAGAGTTTCTCTCAGTAATAGGAGGGAAAGGCTTGGGGTAGTGGTAAATTCTATGGTAGAGATTTTATTGAAGAAGAGTTTACGTTGGGAGCGATATAGTACATACTCCAGCAGGTAGTGTTGAACAGTTTCTTGTTTCACACATTTGCATTTGTTCGAGTTTGCCAACGACTTTTTGTGTAGATCGTATCTCAAAGAAGAGAAACCAACACGGAATCTGCTGTACAATACGTCGATGTCCCTTGCTATATCATATACACGGACGAAAGAAGAGTTACATCCATAGTAGGCAAAAAGATCAGTTTTAAACGATTTTGGAGGTTTTTTTCGTATATTTTGGGGTAGTACTGATAACTGCTGGATTGTATAAGGAAAGAAAGATCTGTCCGCCGATGCCGAGTCCACAGTGATTCTTTTTAAAGTAGCTCTCCTTCTCAAGATATACGGTATTGGCTCTTTATATTTAAACCTTAAGCAAGCATAAATACCCTTTTTTGAACTGGAGAAAAAAGATGATGTTGAGGTCGCATCAAAGCACACGTTATTGAAGAACAATTCCATTGACAAGCGTTGGCGATAATATCAATGATAATGTTTTCTATCATAGAATGGCAAGTTCCTAGATAGTTTAGAGCAGCAAACATAAAAATTCTTCAAAAATGCAATCTTTGTGCTTATACCATAGAAAATACGTGCTAAAAAATAAAAATATGTTAAAATATAAATAAAAATATGTTCTGTGATGCACACTTATTTTCATTCTTTTGTCCTCCTACTAATGGGGAAATTTTATCGACTTTTCACGCGTGAGGGACCGTGAAATGTCAGCTTGGACTTTCACGAAATTTTGTAGGTAAAGACAGCAAGTTTCACGACAGTTTGGTCGTGTTGTTGCAACATCACACGCGTGGCTACGCGTGAAAAATCTTCACACGTGTACACAAGTGAACAATCTTCACGCGTGTACACAAGTGAACAATCTTCACGCGTGTACACAAGTGAACAATCTTCACGCGTGATCACGTGTGAAAAAATCTTGACCATGCCGACCATCTATAGTCAACTGACTATACATCGTCACCATGGTCAAGGTATAATGCAGACTTCATCAATGCAACTTCATCTATAACTTTTTCCACCTGTGTCCACTAGTTGCTAAAATATCACATTTTATATATATCACCGCGAAGTAAGAGTCGAACCAAGGTACTTTGGATTAGAAATCTACGATACTACTATTGAGCTACCAGGCATATTCCTACAGCAAATACCTTCGGTCTACAACAAAGGTTTTCATCTGTATGTATGTACAACTTTCGGAAGATATAGGAGAAATTTGTATTTACGCTTGCCACTCAATCTTCACGACATTTCGCACCTGTAAAAGGTTTCTCACGTGGGCGCGCGTGAAACGTAAGAATTTTGTCGCTTGGAGTTAAGCGTGAATATTATTCACGAAATGAGTTGCGTGAAAAACTGACGTGTGAATAAATGTGAAGATATTTTTCACAATGAAATTAGTGGGAAACATTTCCACGCGTGTCCGCAAGTAATTTTTTTTACGGAAATTTTAACCAGAGAAATTCACGTGTGGCCACTACACACTTCACGACTTTCACCTGTGATCACGTGCAAAAAATATGACGCGAAACGTTTTCGTGACCAGTTCACAAGTGGAATATATTTTTCACGCGTGCTCACACACCATTTTACGATGTTCACGTGCGACCGTAATTCATTTCACGATATTTACGCGTGTACGCACCGCGTTACGTAGACAAGCCGAGTATCGTTTGAATAAAAGTCATTTTATGTTGATTTTTTCAAACTAACGATTATGCATTTACGCCAAAAACATTAAGATTATTCCATTCATTCCGTATTTTAGTGGCGTAAGATGTAAAGGTGTCGTTTTCTTACGAGATCAGTTTTTTCCCGTTCTCGTCCGACGTAAAATTTTTCATTCTTTTTCGTTTTTACAGTATTCGTGGCCGTATATGTAAATCACACAGATCACGCGGTGTACTATTTTATAACCGAAAGACGGTTATAGGTCATCTATCATTCTTCTTTAAATAATGTTGTTAATTAAAAACAAATATCTTTTGCAGTTTCGAAGTTTAAAACTATGAGAAGCCAGTTTTCGCTAAAATCTGAATGAACAGGAGTATAGTAGTGGTACATTATAACGGTAGAACCACATCAAACACAACCTTGTAATAAACTAACAGTTCATCGAAATCATTTTAGTTGATCCAGAATATGTTTCCATGTATTGTATAATTTGACTTTTCACTGTATTGCAAACACGGATATCGAAGCGTATTCATCGAAAACCTGACAACTGAATGAGTGTTTTAGTTGTACTCAGAATCATGAACTACCTGTAATAAACTTTGACTCATCAAGACGAAAGAGTGCACCTAAATGACCGCGCTGGTTCTTGTTTCTGTTCTCGATTCCGTTAAAAGTTTTTTATGATCATGATTAATATTTTTTTATTTGAGTATTTTTTGTACCTACAACTGTAATATATGTCATATCTGCAGCACTCTCTCGCATACGTGGGCTTCTAATTTACATTTAGACCATTTGTAAAAATCATGTTTTTGATTATGACAAACTCCACGACTCTCATAAATTCGACAAAGTAACAATAATTCGAAAAGAAAAAACGTAGTGTACTAAGAAAGCAAAAAAGGTGTACTTTAAGCGTAATTTAACACACAAACTCATTACAGAAGAGTAAACGTCGCCAGTAAGTTCTGTGTTCAGTTTAAAGTTCACTCGAGTAACTGTAAGGAGAGAATGGTGTTACCGAATTATAATGCTGATTAAAAAGGAGTATTAACAACTGTGTTCTTTCAATTTATTTGAAAAGCACTTGATTTTAAGAGTAGTTCCACTCTTTTTCCACCTTCTGGGAAGCCGTACAAAGCGATGTTCTATTGAGTTCCAATTCATACCAGAGAGAGAACATCGAAAAAGAAAATCGATGTATTTTTGCCCTTCCCTGACATGTTCTTCTGTGAAGTTTCAAACAATTCAAAATTTTAAGTAGGGTTTTGGTCATTTTTTATATCTCGAGAAGGAGAAATTAGAAGCCAAAATAAAGAAATTTGCATTCTGAGAAATAGTCCCAGATCAGGGATCGGCACGGGCCCAAAAGCTTGTAAGAGCGGTTTGGCCAGGCCAGGCCGAGGACTTCTCGTTCTTTTCGAGAGTATATGGTTAAATACATCAATAAAACCATTATAGGTTTTCACTCGGTTCTTGCAGTTTGTTCTGAAAACGAACATTGCTACGAGATTCAGCATAGCGGATAACCTATATTGTCATTCATTTCTGACAGTCCCATACCTAACAGCAGAGGAATGCTAAAGCTTCAGGAAAACGTCCATAGCTCCCGAACCACGGATTTCCAACATGTCGTTTCAAGATGTATTCAGAAAGTAATCGATGGCCTTGTATTTTGGGATGGGTAATAGATCGTTTTCCTTTTACTTCTATGAAGGCTCTTCTACCTCTTAACCAGGTTTCTATCAAACTAAAATAAGGTCTCAGAATACCTAACCTCCTTAATTTCCATAAACAATCGGTATACCATAGCTGATCGAAAGTAGACTTAAAATCAACAAAAACGGTCATAACTGGAGAGCTGTTGGACATATAGGGAGAAATCTGATCTACGTATCAAAGAATTCATGAATGAAGAATTCATGATCAATTCATGATCTCTAAGTCCAGATTGTGTACCAGACAGTATATCTCTACGTGCTAAAACAAAGATGAAAGATAGAAGATCGAAGAAACAAATGGAAAGATGCATTTTCTGGCGGATTTAGTCTTATTTGTAGAACGTCTGCCGACCACATTCCCTAACGTAGAACCTTGAAGTTGGTATCAAATGAAAGAGCGCGTTGAGTTCTATATATTTCGATGAAGAAAGGTTATGCTAGAGCTCTCGGTGTTGAGATAGATATTTCTGAAAAACTCAATTTTCTAGAAAACCTAGCGACCTTAAAATTTCTTACAGAACCTTTTCGACCATATCATTGGATAGACCCTGCAATTCTCCACAAAATGCGATGTTGGACACGCGTCTACGTATTTTCTATAGCACTTTGACACTACATCGCAGAAATAACTATAACGTTTTTTCTAACAAGGCCAGAGACTTGCGGTTTTCACCATTCGGTTCAGCTTGCTGAGCTCTATAATATGAGGTAGGTTTCGTCACTAACGTCAAAGATCGTCATATCACCGGATCGAAAAATTTCAAAAGCTTGTTCGGTCGAAACCGATTGCAGATTCGTTTTCTCCATGGTTGATTATGTGGTACGCAATAACTTTTGGATCGGTGTACTTTAGAAAAAAATTTTCCCATGGTCTTGCTCAAAAATTTTTCAAAATGTTACCGTATGGGACCAAAGGCAAAACAATGTCGAAAATTTTTTCTGAAGTACCCCGATCCAGAAGTTACCGCGTACCACATAATCAACCATGGAGAAGACGAATCTGCAATCGGTTTTGACCGAACAAGCTTTTAAAATTTTTCGATCCGGTGATACGTGTAAATGGTGGTAGGTTTTATATGGATCGAGCCTATCCGTCGATGCCGGGAACATTACTTTGCAGTAGTAATATCCAGAAAAATGAGCGTTCACACTTTCGACGATAAATGAATTGCTAGCCATCTTGTAGAGTTTTGAAGGAGCTTTCTTTTGATATATAACGTAGACTGCAACCTAAGTTCTTTCATAGTAAAAACACAAAAACATTATCCGTCAGTATGCTTGAAAACATCACTCTTCAGTAGTAATATCGCAAAAAGTGAGCGTTCACACTCTGAACTAGAAATGAGTCACCCACCATTTTATAGAGTTTTGAACGAGCTTTCTTTCCATATATAATGTAGACCGCAACCTGGGTTCGTGCATGGTGAAAAAGCTGAAATACCATCGTGCACTATGCTGAAAAGGTCATGTTTAACAGTAATATTCCAGAAACGTGGATGTGAGCAGTGTACATAACAATTGAGCAATAGATAGTTTTGTTCGCCGTTTAAGGCTGCATCGAATGGTATAAGACTTTCGTTCAAACTTGTTGTATTCTGAGAAAATTACGAAAAACGCGTCGAAATGGGGTCTTGCACCCCGTCCTTTGCAGCATCAATAGCCAGTAGGACAAAGGCCCATACCAAAACATATGATTTGATAGTCCCTTCACATCGCAAGACTTTTTCAATTGTTTCGATCTCACAATATCTATCACCTTATCAAGGATTGCTAACGGTATCGCTTATTCAAAATTCTCCTACTCTGTCCAAGGAGCATCGGTATAAGGATAAGAACATATTATAAATGACTAGTTGTCGAAATTTTAGTGAATAGACATGCAAACGATAAACATGAGAATACTAAAGCAAATCCTTCACCATCTGAATCAAATGGTCAACGACAACAACAAACGGTTATTAATATACCAGAAAATGGCCTTGAAAATATAGATATTGAAGAACTCTACAATAAAGAAAAATATGATTTGAAGGAAATGGATTTGAAACAAATATACAAATTATTCGAGTAAGAGTGATAATTGGGTAAATTCGTTTTGTTTTGCTCACATTCAAGATATATTTCAACAGGGCTTCAACTAATGGTCTCAATGATGATCAAGTGGAAAAACGTCTTGCCAAAGTATGTGATAATAAAATGTTTCTTATCATCTGTGTATAAGATCACCTTCGAATTGTGTTTAGTTTGGTCCAAATAAACTGGAAGACAAACAGCGTAATCCAATAATACAATTTTTATTATTCATGTGGAACCCACTTTCATGGTATATTTCTAAACTGTAGAAATATAATATCTCATATTCTACTAAGTTTACTTTTATGTATGCAGGGTGATGGAGGTTGCCGCTATCATTGCCATAGCACTTGCTAATGGTGGTGGCATACCACCTGATTGGTATGATTTTGTCGGGATTATATTACTACTAATAGTCAATGCTGTAATTGGCTTTATTGAACAACGTCGTGCGGGTAATGCCGTTAAAGCTCTCATGGAATCATTGGCACCAGAAGCTAAAGTAAAACGTGGGGGAAAATGGTCAACAATTGAGGCGTCCGAATTGGTACCAGGGGATGTAATTGCAGTAAAATTAGGAAATATTATACCGGCTGATTGTCGAATTATTTCAACAAAAGGTACAGTATCGATTGATGAAGCTGCATTGACCGGTGAATCATTACCAGCGACGAAACAAACTGGTGATGAAATTTATTCTGGTTCGACTTGTAAGCAAGGAGAATTAGAAGGTGTTGGTAAGTTAATTATAGAATATTATGTAAGAACTTGCTTTTATACTTTCGTTTTAGTTACTGGTACTGGAGTAAATACATTTTTTGGCCGTGCTGTTAAACTGGTGAAAAGTACTAGTAATGAAATGGGACATCTACAACAAATATTGGCTAAAATTGGCAATTTTTGTATATGCAGTATTGCACTATTTATTATATTGGAAATATTTGTTATGTATGCAGCCTATCGGTTTGCATACCGTCGTGGAATTGATAATATACTTGTATTACTTATAGGAGGAATTCCAATTGCTATGTAAGTTTATAAATAAGTTGATTATCATGTCACTCGACGTATATTTATTATAGGCCAACAGTTCTCTCTGTAACACTTGCCATAGGTGCTAAACAATTATCCAAGCGAAAAGCTATTGTTACACGAATAACGGCCATTGAAGAATTAGCTGCTGTCACTATTTTATGTTCAGATAAAACTGGTACATTGACATTGAACAAATTGGTTATTGATACTGATATTATAATTCAATATTCCGATATTAGTAAAGAAGATATTATTGTCTATGCTTCTTATGCATGTGCGGCAGATCATCCAGATGCGATGTAAGTTCATAAGCTTTATGAATGATTTTTAATAAAAAATCTCAAGTTTCATCGCAGAGATGTCTAGTAGAGTTCAGATTCAGAACAAAAGCCATATGTGTGCACATTTCTTACCTTGATCATTTCTCAACGTTTAGTCATATTGTCTAATATCATATGCATAATTCTCAAGATTATATTTGTTGAGATACATAAATTTCTCCTTTAGTGATTTGTGCATCATGAATTCACTAGGTGATAAAGATTCTCACGGTGATATTGAAGTATTATCGTTTTCACCATTTAATCCTGTTGATAAACGAACAGAAGTTACCTATAAACTAAAATCAGATAATACAGTTCATCGTGTAGCTAAAGGAATGTCGGATACAATATTAGATTTGTGTACTAAAGATAAATCTGATGCACAAACAAAGAAGTTTCAATCGGATGTTAATGAATATGCAAAACGTGGTCTTCGCTCATTAGCTGTTGCCATTGAGACTGCAAAAAATGGTGCAGTAGATGGAGAAGGCGAAGGATACAAATTAATTGGATTATTACCATTGTATGATCCGCCGAGAGAAGACACGAAAGAAACCATCAAACGTGCGCTTGAACTAGGTAATTTATTTGCGAGAAGAAAAGTAACACATAAATAGACAATTACGATTTTTAGGAGTGAAAGTAAAAATGATAACAGGTGATCAATTGGCTATAGCAATTGAAACTGGCCGCCGTCTAGGAATGGGAGATAAGATGTATGTCTATAGTAAATTAAAGGATACTTTAAAGGAAGAATCCAAGTACAAAGATATTGATGAATTGATACTGGATGCAGATGGTTTCGCTGGTGTTTATCCTGAACATAAATATGAAGTTGTAGAAAGGTTACAAAATATGGATTTGATGGTAGCAATGACAGGTTTATAATAGCAAAAATAATCTAAAAGCTCTGATAACACAGTATTTTATTTAGGTGATGGTGTTAATGATGCACCCGCTTTATCCAAAGCAAACGTCGGCATAGCTGTAGCGGATGCATCCGATGCTGCTCGTTCAGCATCGGCTATTGTACTCACTGAGCCTGGTCTGTCTGTTATCATTGATGCTTTAATCGGTTCTCGTGAAATATTTCAACGCATGAAAAATTATGCTGTTTATACGTGTTCAGTTACAATACGTATTGTTGTCGGTTTTGCTATACTTGTCTTTGCATTCAAATATAATTTTCCGCCGTTTATGGTTTTAATAATGGCAATATTGAACGATGGGACAATAATGACAATATCTAAAGATCGTGTTCGTCCAACGAAATATCCAAATACATGGAATCTGAAAGAAATATTTTGTTATTCGATTATTTACGGTCTCTATTTAGCTCTATCAACCATCATCTTTTTCACGATTATTGTTAAAACAACATTTTTCCAGGAAAAATTTTATCTTCAAACATTTATTATCATTGACAATTCAGGTGGATACAATGGTTCGATATTAAATTCTATTATTTATCTCCAAGTATCAATCATTAGTCAAGCTCTGATTTTCATAACACGTTCGACCGGACTCTTTTTCTCAGAACGTCCATCTCTTCTACTGATTTGTGCATTTATATTTACACAGATGGTAGCCACGTTAATAGCAGTTTATGCAAACTGGACTTTCACCAACATTGAGGGTTGTGGATGGTCTTGGGCTGGTGAGATATAGAAACATTTCTCCTCATTACACTTCTAAGTATTCTTGTTCTTTTAGGCATAGTCTGGATATGGAATATGATCTGGTTCATTCCTCTTGATTTATTAAAATTTTTCCTACAAGCATCGTTTGCACGTAGTTTTCATGCTGTCAAACCGATTCAGCGTCGTGATCGAGCAGGAAATACCAAAGCTGATGCATCATTGGATGAATTTGAAGATGTTCCTAAACAATCCGTGATGTCAGATAATTTAATAAACACAACCAAATACAGTTTACAAGCACTAGAATCCTTAGCATCAACGGCATCCGGCTTTTACGCACCTTATACAGATTTTATCTCAAGAGAAAGCATTCATCATCATATCAATTATCACCATTCACTGTCACATAATAGTGCAATATCATCATAATGAACAATAGTTGGTCATGGAACCAATATGAAAGATAGCTCTTGTCTATTATGAGAAAGGGAAGAGCTGTTGTTACCAGCCTCTTAACGTGCCTTTCGCGTAGCTTTTTGGCTATAATTATTGTACATGTACTTCTACTTTTCTCTAAATATTTTTCGAGCATGATTTAACTATATTTTGTAAAATAATTGTTTAACTGTTACGTTTTTTGTACCAGATATGTAACACATATGAATCTTTTTTTATCGAAAATAGTGCACAAAACATGCTCTTGTAAGTATATGTTCGGTTTGAAAGTGGAAAAAGCCTTCTCAGAAGTAGTATGAAATGCCCTCAAACTTACTCACAAGCAAAACGCAATGTTGATCAATTTAATTCTCAAAAGCAATGGATCCCTACATGTTACGTGTGCTTGTAGAATTTTCAAATTGTTTCGTAATTGTACTACCCTTTAGAAACTTGAATTTTAGAAAACCTAATAAAAAATTGATAATAATTTAAATACTTCAAATAATAGAATATAAGAGAAATATCTGTCAAACTTGGCGGACGGTTTCTGTCGAAACGATGTTCTTCAAAAGGTGAACTGATGAATTTCAAGAAATAAATAGTTCAAAACATTCTCCATAACTTGGACTGGAGAAAACATGACGCAGCATTACTACAATTGTTGACTCCTGTTTTCTTTTAAAGAAGCAAATCACAGTTTTCATCAATGAGTTCCAAAATGAACATTCGCTTTATAGTAGAATTCTACCATTTGATTAGATTTCTCCTCTCTTTTATTTTAGTAGCGCTAAAAGTGATTTTTTCATCAAAAATAAAAGATCCTCAACGGTCAAAACCAACATCAAAGACCGCCACGAGCATAGCATAAATTGAACGCAGTTTAATTAAAACAGCGTCATGCTGCGCTGTCGCGCACCCTAAAGACGATATACTATTTTGAACAGACTGCGATTAGTTATAAACGCGTGAATAGGGTATTACTTGAACCAATTTTCGTATGGTAATTAGTAATGTGCACGGATACGACTGTGGGTAACTTGCTTGACTCATACCTTTTTAGAAGAAAATAAGAAAATTTTGTGTGTTTATTATTGCGTGTAATAAATACTTTGTGTAATCACGTAGAAAAATGAGAGAATCGAGCTACTAAGGTAACTGATTCGTTTATAAGAACCTGTAAACTCAACAAATTCAATCACTTTATGAAGGAAAGTGCTAAAAATTGAATCCGCACCAAAACTTTTCGCACTCGTACTTATTCCACAGATTGATTTTCAGATCATTAATGTTGATCACTAATATAATTCTAAAAAGGTCACCTGTCAAAAGAAATTATCGAATTTTGTTGAAAATCAGTGGATTTGCTGAACTCTATTACTTTTGTGCATGACACTCACTTCTTTTTGAAGTTTGTAGGAAGAAAATTAGTAACAGCGTTAAGAAACACGACCATCATTGATTTCAGAGCATTTCAATCCCTTTCGAAAAGTTTCGAATACTTAACAGATATTGGAAGCATTTTTGGAAACAAATTCAAAGAGAAAAGCATTTTAGGTATACCGTACCAATTTCCATTGATAATAATGTTTTCTACGTTCCGGCAAAATTTGACGGAATATGCCGAAATATTAAAAAAATAAATTGATTTCCTCACAAATACATAACGTATTTCTTAATTTTGTTTATGATATTTGTGATTAGTATAAATAAATACATGTATTTTATTTGTGAGAATTTCTGAGAAAAACTCTTCACAGTTCCTGAGATGTATCACAGATGTAAACGACTCAATATATAAATTTTGCGAACTAAGCTCTGAAGTATGATCCAGACATCATCCTAACATATTTTTGAAAGGATTTTGAGAAAAAATCTATGATCTTACCCGTTCTTCTTTCCTTACTTTATAGTCTGGATTGCTTTACGATAGGTTTATGATACGTATAGTGTTCCCCCTCATAAACTAACCAGTCTGATATTGTTTTTATAAATTCTCGAGCATAGATTTGTTCTAACCACTGTGGTGGTAACTGTTTGTATCCATAGTAAGCCCCAGCCAATTGACCATAGATCGCTGCTGTTGTATCTGTGTCATCACCTAAATTAACACATTCGAGCACTCCGCTTTCATATGAATTTTTATCAGACCAAAATGCCCATAATGCTGCCTGAAGTGACTGGATACAAAGTGCACTACCTCTTATTCCATCATTATAACCACCTTTACGTTGATATGTTGTGTTTTTCATAATATTAGATACTTCCTGGTCAAGTGGTTTACTGCCAAACCACTGTATATGATTTTGGTAGAAATTCCGATGTAAAATCTCATTCTTCTTTTCACCGTTCAATGCGGCACATATAAGTGCAGCATACAATCTACATGAATCAATCGCTATTTGATGTCCATGTGTTGTACGTGCACTCTCCCCGGCATAATACACAGCATCTTTAGCGTCTCGGTGAAAGAACAGAGCTATTGGTGCTAAACGCATTAAACAACCATTGGATTGTCGATCGGGTTGGCTACATTGTGTGTTAAACCCTTCAGGTTCTTGTAAATCAAGAGTTGTAAAATCTTGATTATACTCGTGTTGTCTACGAACAAATACATCTAAAGCTTGTTTTGTTGATTTACCAATATCGAAACAATGACCAGTTGATGACATATAACCTTTACGCCACCACCATTTATAACGAACCAGTTGATCATAGGCACTAAATCCATGTTGACATATTAAACTTGCGGCTAAACACAATGCCATTGATGTATCATCTGTCCATTGACCCGCTTTCAAGCCCCACGTACCACCACCTTGCAGATTTGTAATTGGATTTTGTTCTAAATACTCACGTGGACGAAATTCAACAGATGCTCCGAGAGCATCCCCTATAGCCATGCCCATCATTGATCCATGAACTTTATTGGATAGATTTTGATCGGATGATTGGGGAGGACAATGATTTACGTAATCCATTTCATTTGGTTTTAAATTTGTCACATTAAGCCATTCAGTATTATCAAATTTTTCTCTTGTTGTCGAACGCCGTTGTTGTATCTGTTGATTATGCTCTCGGTAGGATATGTGGGAGTGCCTTTGTGATTTTTCTACTATGTTTCGCTTGTGATCTTGTTCTCCAATTGTGCCGGTACAATTTCCCATATTTTTTTAAACACAAAACCTTTGTATGTATACTCTTTTTCGTGTTCTGCTTCAGTATTAAATCTTAATACCGCACGTTTTTTTCTTGTTGTATTTACTCAAAAAAATTCACGTTTTATAATCACTATCACGTCATAATAATCAGCACACAATTTTTATCTGTTCTATTTTTTTAGCTTTCACCTGTTAAAATTGAAAATATTTCGTGTTCCAACGTTCATGTCTCATACAATTATGAGGCAACTGAAGCTTGCAGTTAAACCGATGAAAAAACAAGGACATTCAAGAACTTGTACACAAAAAACAACCCTTTCAACAAGATTGAATTTCTTTCTTACACGAAGAGACACACACGAAGGAGGTTGTGGCTTTTATTATGGTTTTATCGAATAATTTTTCGAAAAAATCACACTATAGCGATTTTGAAAAAATTTTGCTACAAACTAGCTTTCTATCCCACGTCTTGCAGAAAGAGAAAATCTGCACAAGTTCTTTAAAGATTTTTTTTCTTGAAAATTCTTGATCAAGATTTATTGATACCTCTGCACTTGATGTCCTTGGAAAAACTTGATCAAGATCTTGATCAAGATTTACTACGGTTTCAAGTCTGATGTATCTTGAGAATTCTGT